TTCCCTACTCACTTAAAATGGTATACATAATTTGTATTTCATATGAGTGGCTGGGTAGACCTCAGGGGGAAGGAACCAAGTTCCTTCTTCTACGAAAAGAGTTCAGTCTAGAGCAGGTCTTGGTCCTCTTACCATTAAGCTAGAGACTCCCTGATTGGCGCAGGAAGACACTGGGGAGGACACAAGGACACCAATGGACAAACTCAGCTGCTGCACAGTAGCTCTTTCTCTGAGTTTTGTACTCAGGTGCCAGAGTAATTTCCTCCACCAGCAGAAGTCATGAAACAGAGGGATCATTTTGTGCTGTTCCCCTCTCCTGGGCTGCTTCACATTCCAAGGTCATACTCCAGGAAAGGACAGCAGAGGGGATACGATGCAGAACAAAGTATGGTGGAGGAAACAGAAATGAGATATTGTACAGGGTTAGAATGAGCAAGAGGGTAACAGAAAGGATAGAAGACCAACCTATGGGAGGTGGGACTGGGACAACTTCTGGGACTTCAAAATTATTGTGTGGGAACACAGAGAGGAAATGAGCAGAAAGATGGAGTGTGCAGAACAATCTGGGCAAGAAAGACAGAGGAAGCAACCCTAAGAGTGGAAAGAGGAAGAGCCAAAAGAGTGAAATTCTGACATAAAGAGACCAAAACACAGGCTTGAAGATATGGTCCAGAAGTGCAAAAGATAGCCATCATCTCTGCCAAATCCCCACTCCCCCAAAAATAACAGGAGGAAAAACAACATTGTGGTGTCATAAAATCCTTGACTCATCTCATTGTGCAAGGTTTGCCTGGATTACATTTTGCTAAATGAATCTGATTTTTGTTCTCTTCCTTTTTATGTTTTTTTTTCATCAGCCTCCAGATAGGGGAAAGCTGGGAATCCCACCGGATTAAAATCTTGCTTGTCTGTCATCTGCTGTGAGAAGCTGGCAGGATAGCAGCAAGGTTCAGCTGGAGCTGGCTTGGCCATCTGCACTAGATTGAATCTGCCAGAAAATCACACCTAATAGTCCACTGAAAGCTGCATTCAGGCAAACATGTACACCAACAGGTATGGAGACTATCTGTGACTCCCGCAGTGCTGGACAGACATTGGATATGGCAAATTTTCTCTGCTGTTCTGTCCCTGTCGGTCCATCTAAAGAGTCTTGTCCATTTTCCACCATGCTCAGCTCACACATGTGCTTTGGCAGCTTAAAAATCTAGTTCAGTGTTATTAAAGTCATGGGAAACTTTTTTCTTGGGTTTTTAGGGAGTGTCAGAAAGACAGGGATGAATCTAATCCTCTGCTTTGCTGTCAAAGAGGACCAAAGTAAATTGAAAGTGCAGCAAATACGAGATTTAGTTGCTTTTAGATTTTTCTTGCTGTTCTCACTGAGGGTGATTTACACAGGACTTTAATTAGTTCACAGGATTATAAATATAATCATAAAGCTGCTTTTGGGGTTTGTGGAAAGCACTTTGGCCCTTTAGCACTTCTCTCTGTCTTGCTCTGTGACATGCTGCATTTAATAAAGTCTTGCTGATTCAGATCACCAACACTTCAGCACAAACTTCTTTACTAATTAAGAGCTGAAGAGACAAGGAGCAAAGGCAGACAAGGGGCTCTATAAAATCAGGTAAATGCATTTAGGTTGATGAACAGTGAAAATCCCAGGAGTGAATGTGGTCTTTTGACTGAAATACAATATTAGGACTGTCAGCAGGCTTAGTTATTGTCTTTTAAACTGCTCTTAACTTTTGGTCTCGTCAGTCCACATATTACAAACTTGACATAAACTGAAAATGGAACAAACCTGGATCAGTTTTTCAACATCAACGGTTTCTGAGTTGTGAGGTGCCTTTCTCTGGAGAGGAGTGAAAGGTGGTGGCAACTGTGTGCATGTGGGATGAAAGACTTGAAAGCATATGAGAAGCAGTGAGTTTGGTTTGCAAAACCATGGTTGCCCTAAAAGAGATATGGACAAGTGGGGCAAAACAGCCTGGGACACACTGATGAACTTTCTCCTCAGCTTGCAGACTATTCCAGAGTGGGTTCTAGATCAGAACTACTCTTTGATTTGGTGTTGTCCAATACCAAACTCTGACAAATGTCTTTCCCCCCCAAACACGCTATTCTTTCCTTTTCTCATCTTCTGTAACTGGGACAGAGGCAGATAAAATCAATTTCCTGAACTCTTCCACTACTTCTGAATTTTAACTGTTCAAACATTAGTCCTGACCCAAACAGTCCGAGACCTTTGATTTAAGAAAAACAAAATCCACATGAGTAGGTTCTGAAAAGTGAGACACAACTATTCCTTACTTTGTTTATCCCCATTCAATGTCCAGTATTTTTACAGCAATAAAAAAAGCATTAGACAACAGATTCCTCACAATAATAAAACCTGGGCAAATCAGACTTTGTGCAGTCATGGGGGTCTTCTATCACAACTAGTGTAGCCTTCTGAGAACATGGATAACTCCAGTACTACAACCAGTACATTTTATTACCGAAGTCTGCAATATACAAAGTTGCCACCAGAAGATTTCTGGGAGGTGAATGTGATTTAAAAGCAGAACTACATTGCTTACAGCATCCTCCTGAGGCAGAATCCCTCCCAGTCCCAGCTTAGGTATATCTACCTGGGCCAGTGGTCTCACCTTGAAACAGGTGTCACATAGTTGCCCGGGAAGACACCAGACATCCCACTCCTCAGAGACGTCCCCTTGAACCAGCCGTCCTGGCATTTCTCAATGACTCGGTACATCTCACCTTTGCGAAGCTCCAGCTCATCATTCTTCTGAGGCTTGTAGGCATACAGGGCTAGGTAGCTGTGGGGACAGGTCACACAAGAAGGAAACGCATTTGACGTCAACCACAGCTTCAGCTCCAGCCCCACAGAGAAGAAAGTGATCAGAAACTGCTCAGAAACCATGGCTAAAAAGGAACATCATTACAGCATGGCAAACAAAAATGGCAGAGAAGTTCAACTGAGTGCTATGACAACAAGGAAATAACTAATCAGATTAAAGTCAAGGGCTAATTTAGAGATTAATAGTACATACTTCTCACTCAGGGAACAACCAAAGCAGAACACTGTCACAAAGCAGTACTGAAGTTAAAAATTTAGCAGCAGTTTCAGAAGGACAAGCCACTTACAGAGACAGCCAGAATAACCAGGACTTGAATGGCAAGGCTCTGCAAACCTTAACATCTGGATGAGATATATATATTCACGTGCTGCAGGATGGGAACCGCCTCTACTGCGGATTTTCAGAAGAAACTTTTCTTATGGCTGGGCTACTTCATAAAATTCTAAGGCAACCTTTCTTGCAGCTTTCTTGATGCTATTTATGCTGGTGAGTTTTAGAAACAACACACCAAACTGTACTGATCTGGTATGGTAATTCTTGTATTATGTGGGTAAAACAAAAAGTGGCAGAGGGCTGAATTCTGCAAGGGGATTTGTACCTAAGTGAATAGATAGGATTTGGCTTTGGATGTCTTTTATGCAAGTATTGTAATAAATATTTAATCCAGGACGCAATATGTAGAACTTCTAATTTATTTCATTACAGCTTTTACTTATTCCCTTTGTTTAGAATCTTTCTTTTTATCTCTTTTTTGTTCACTACTTCAGGGATGTGTCTAATGTTGCAAAATGGCTACAACTTGAAGTCTCTGGGGGTATTTTCTCTTTTTAGAGAGATCCTTTTTGAAAATTAAGAATGATAGCTTGCACTTTGGGGAATAATGGAAAGTGAGGACAGGATAGCAAGAATGTATATGCAGAGCAACACTTTCTTTGTAGTAGCAATTTTATTTTGGTACTGTCACCTTTCTACAAATGCAAAAAGGGATTTATCATAATTCTGGATCAAGATTGAACTTCCTTGAGGTTTTTTTTTTACTTTGTGCATACAGGCAGTGCAGAGAGACTAAGACAAATGGGGAAAAACTTACAGAAAGTGCATTTACACTACGAAGTGCAGCAGAAAGCTCTTAGGCTTGGGGGTGCATGAGAAGAAGCTTGCTGCCCACCTTACTGCAGTGAACCAGAGAAATAATGAAAACTGTAACTGTTGTGGTTGTAGATTTGCAGTCAATAAAAATGATGTATGGCTTTTTACTTCTGCTCTCCAGGAAATATAATTGAGGAATAAATCCTGTTAGTTTTCCTGATTCTATTCCTTTATGGTATCAGTAGATTTCCTTATTTTTATTCTAAAGGCAGTAAATAAACAACAGTAATGAGTGGAATATGAAATATTTGGTAAGAGCTCCTTGGGGCATGCTTAGGCTGATGTGCCTGGCTCTGTTTGCCACGTGCATGGGGTACAAAGACCTAATCAGAAACTATATTTCATTAGTCAACAGATGGGAGCAACCATTCTGCACATCCTTTGCTCAACCTACATAATCAGGTGGTCCTCAGCAGGTCTGTTCACCTGATGGAAAACATGAGGCTACATATGAATTGAAGAACATTACAATGCATCACTCTGACATGTAATAAGGTTACATACTTCAGTGCTAATTCTCCAGCACAGTGCTCTGCTAGGACAGAATAGTAAGTGCCAAGACTGCACTAACTCCAGGGAGCAGAAAGTGTGGCTTTGACTACTCCTTTTTAAGTTGTTGCATAAAAAGGCCTCATATTCAGAAGCTGGGGTTAAGTGGGGGTCAAGGGAAGAGTATTTTAGATAGACTTACTTAGCCCTTACCCCAAGGGGCTACATGTAATAATGTAATTTACAGGTTGAGATGCTGGAAGAAAGTGCAAGGAAAATTACCCTAAGTGGATCATAGGCTGCTTTCCCTTGTAGCTGTCTCCAGCTCTCCTGTAAGTGTCTTATTGTTCCTCCCTGCAGATTACCCAACTCAGCCTCTAGTAAGCCTGAATAAACAATATCACAATGAGTCTAAACATCCTCCAGAGAGAGTATAAAAACCCTTGTAGAGTCTAAAAGAAGGTGTACAACAGATCAGCTTCAACTCCATGTCAAAACTGAGCGATGTCTTTATTGCTAGACAGATGAAAAGATGTGTGTAGTGACCACATAGTGCAACTCTAGGACAATGCAGGTGATCAGTGCTTTCTTTGTGGAACAACGATCCCACCACATATGTGGGGCAGTAAGGATGCCCATTCCTGGGGGTCTTCTCAGTTATCCCAGAATCATGAAGTGATTCAGGTTGGAAGGGACTTTTAAAGGTCACCTAGGCCAACCCTTCTGCAGTGAGCAGGGATACCTGCTGCTAGACCAGGTTCCTCAGAGCTCCATCCAACTTGGCCTTGAATATTTCTGGGGATGGGACATCTACCACCTCTCTGGGCAACCTGTTTCAGTGTCTCACCACCCTCATTGTATAAAGTGTCATTCTTATATTTCGTCTAAATCTACGCTCTTTTAGTTTAAAACCATTACCCGTTGTCCTTTCACAACAGGCCCTGCCAAAAAGTTTGTCTCAATCTTTCTTATATGCTCCCTTTAAGAATTGAAAGGCTGCAAAAAGGTCTTTCCAGAGCCTTTACTTCTCCAGGCTGAATAACCTTAATTGTCTCAGCCTCCATCCATCTGATAACTTTTGTGGCACTCCTCTGGACAAGCTCCAGCAGGTCCATGTCCTTCTTATGTTGGGGGCCCCAGAACTGGACACAGTACTCCAGGTGTGGTCTTACCAGAGTGGAGTAGAGGGGCAGAATCCCCTCCATTGACCTGCTGGCCAAGCTTCTTGTTAGGCAGCCCAGTATATGGTTGTCTTTCTGTACTGTGAACGCACATTGCTGGCTCACAAGATTTTCATCCACCAGTACCCGCAAATACTACTCTTGCAGTGAGCAGGATGTAGAGGAAGCCAAAATCTCTATAAAAAGTTCCCTAAAAAAAAGGCTTAAGAAGGTAACTCATGTTTGTAGCCTTGGGGAGCGGCCTATGACTTTACTTACAATGCACAAGCCCCACAGCTCTGTCTGGGGTTATAACTCCCCAGTTCTGCTACAGCTTTCAGATAATGCTTCCTCTACGACTGGAACTTGGCTCACAAATGCAAAATGACAGACTGGATTACAAGGCTGCTTCACAGGGGAGATGTCAGGAGAAGCACGAGAGGGAGAGGGGGAAGCTTGCTGAGGCATGGAGGCAGCGGCATTGCCAGAGAGCTGGTAGATGTCTTGATTCAGCAACTAAATACTAAAAACACTGCCAGTTACAGTTTCCTAGTTTGAGCATTGTTGGAAATAAATTTGTGCCCCACAGGCTGCACAGGGTGTCCACAGGGTGATGATGAGCTCTCTTTGTGTGGCAGTAAGTGACATGTGGTACCCCTCAGGTATGAAGATCTCACCTGAGTAGTGAAGAAAAAATTGGTTTGGTTCTGTTCCAGCTTCCTCATTCTCCTTAAAGCAGATTTGCTATGCTTTTTTAGGATTTATTTTATTCTTTTAGCCATTAAATAAACCCCTAAAATATTAGTGTGCGTCTATAGTGTGTGTCTATATGGTTCTACTGTTTTCACAAGGTATATATGAGAGGAAAGGGTTCAGTAGTTTAACTAAATAGGTACCAGATAAACCAACCAGGCTATAAGAGACTGATTACAGTGAAGTCTATTCCTTTTGTTCAGTATCTAGCCAACCTCCTGTTATTCTCCACACTATTCAATAAGCCCATACGCCCAAGATACTAAGTTCATTCATTGCCCTTGTTTGTGGCACTGAAAAAATGCAATTGGGTCATTTTTCTCTGGTTAATGGTGAATTTATCAGCTGTTTGATTGTATGGAACTACACTTTTTTTGAGAGCTTTAAATGAAGGAAGAAGATTTTCTCTAGCTCAGAGGCATTCTGTTTGCTTCACAGTGGCTCACAGAGCTATAATAAATATCAGTAGCCTAAAAGGGCTCACAGATAAAGGCGGAAGTCTTGCCTTTCTCTGTTAATTTTTCAGTTTCAGCAGGTGCTGGGTCATGTATGAAACTGTGATCTCTCTCTGTTCAGAATGCTCCTGAACTGAGTTTTGGGCTTTCAGGTTTCAAATAGATGCACACACATTTGGAAACAGAGTACACAGTGGCTGTGATGAGCTGCTTACATATTGAGGGGGAGCTGGACCTTCGGTGGTGTTCCCTGATCTCCAATTATTGCACTTGTCCTGGGGCCAGCCACTGTGGCTGTTCCAATCGAAGAGGAATCCTGTAAATACACAAAGAAGAACATACAAGGATTAAGACAAAGTTCATCATTTCCTCAAATTCTATAGGTGAAGGCACTGAGGAAAAAAATCACACCTTTTATAAATTTCCAGGATCTCTAACTCCATGATACTGCATTAAAAAAGACATCTTTTAGTCTTATATATTAAAAAAATACATTTCTGACACAAAGGATATTAGGTTATTAACAGTATTTCCATGTACCTGTCAGAGAATTTTAGTTATGCCTTGTGTGCAGATCTTAAAAGTTATAGATTGCAAATTACTTGACTGCTTTGTAAAATCAGCTCAACATGTACATCTCTGCAATAGTACAGTACCTTCTTTGATAAAGGTAAACTTTCCCTCTCCAAAACTTGTTTTAAAATCTGTGCTCTTTTGGTTAATGTTTATGGATCTATGGAGAAGAATATACTATACAATTTCCAAAATGCAGTGTCATCTTGATATACTGTTTTTATAAACATAGTCATATATTTAAATATTATATATATGTGTATATTCTTCTTAAGAAAAAGGTGACAACCCAACCCAGAACAGGAGCACGTCTCTCTGAATCGAGAAAGTAGGACCCACTGCACTTTTGCCACAGCAAAAAAATCCCCACTCTATATGAGAACTGGCCATATCTTTCCCAGCTATCAATATTGAAAGGAAATTCTAAATGTAACTCTCAATTTTTCAAAGCTCAGTGCTCAGCAAAAGTATGTAAGGCAAACTCTTTTGAGTTGTTTCACCAAAGTCTTCATTCATCTATGTCAAAAAACGGATCCTGACTGGAAAATTCTCCTGAAGTAGTGCCAAGGTCTGTAGCAACAGATCTTTGCTGCAAACACAGGGCACAGCTGGGCTGATGGGACTTGTAATGGATTAGCTGAGCAAAAATCTTTTTTAGCAAGTCCAACCATTTGCTGCATGCACATCCATGTGCATAGTGGCTCTACAAAGTAGGATCCAGAGTTTATGCACAAATTACAGGGTCAGACAAAGCCTGTTAAATACAACAAAGATTCTGAGCAGTTCAGAGAACTTCAGTGCAGCTTTTCTGTTTCCAAATACTCTGTAACAGTAAATATTTATTTTGGGAACAGAAACATAGGGACATTTTTTGCACTTACAAATGCCACTGAATTAAACTAAGACATGAAATTAAGCCAAGACACACACTGCTGCCTAATTAATGGATTTCAAGGTCACCTAATTCCAAAGCAGCACACATAATTATTACAGTGTCGTGTCTTGATAGTGCATTGCTAAGCTATATTGCTTTGCTGTTTATTAGCACAATATCATTAGGAAATGATGAAGTAAAATATGAAGACACTGCTCTGTGATTCCATAGTTTTGGCAACATGCAGCAAACTGTCTCCTCTCTCAATGACACCTATGCTCTATTGTGAAGTTCTAGTGACAAGCACATCTCCTTTTTCTCATTATTTCCCCTCACTTTCTGGCTGCTTGCTCAAACAAGGAAGGGTCCAGGCAGCTCTTGGTCCTATGTGTAAAAGTAAGCTCTCTTTCTAGTTCTGTGACTAAGGCTTTATTAATCCTACCTGTTGCACAAATTAGATAGTATCAGTTTACAGGATAAATCCCCAACCCACTCAAAAATGTACAGGTAGCTGGAGAATGATCTTTTGTTTGTTATTTTGAACTGGTTAGCAGGATTAGGGATTGCAGAAGATGCTGGGCAGAAAGATCCAGCAACTGCCTCACCCAAGAGATAACTGAGAAATCAGGTTGCTCAAACTTCTTCATGTTGTGCCACCACTGCATGTCTGCTCTGAGCTAGAGAAACTGCCACCAAGAAAACACAAACCAGCTCAGTCCCCACCCTTTTCAGGTAGGATAAACTACTTTGTTTTTACCTAATGAAAAAACAGAACTGAGTGAACAGCCTCAGAGTGCAACCATAAATGCAGGGATCTGTGTAAGGCAGAGAAGATCTGTAAAGGCTGTGTAAGACACGTGCTATGCCTTCCTTAGCTCCTACAATCTTCTCTCTGCCCACCTCGGGAAGGGCAGATTTTCCAGAGATGCTGCTATCCCAGCCAGGAGTGCCCATTGCAGGCACCCTGGGCTAATTCAGCTTGACTTGGCAGACAAGCTCAAACCTGGAGAGTAGCATAGGGTTCTAAGCATCACCTGGTTGCCTGCCTGCACCAAGAGTGGTGGCTTCTGTATCTTCTCTGTTACTGGAAGCTTGAGCCCAAGTACTTTCTGTGTGCTCTTATGCTTGTACTAATATACAGTCCTAGGGATTACAACGTCAGGTAATTGTCATTCAGTGTTGCTAGATACCAATGTTACTTTCTTCCCTTGAATAACCTCGAAGAAATCTCCATAGGTCTGTATGTTCTATGTCTCCCTCACCTTCAGTTTCTTGCCTATGGACCTGCTACCCTAATTACTGATATATCTGGGGCCAGCCTGGACCCTACAAGCAGTCCATTTTTTTTTTTTTTTTTGCACAGCCTAGTATCATATGGTCTTCAAACTCTAAACTGGTGCCTTCTTTCTGAGTGTGCTGCAGTTTTTGTCCAGCTCCTCTCCTCTACAGACTTTGACATGATAGTGTACTTGCCAGTCTGCCTATGACCCCACTTTTCATCACCATGTTTTACTCCACAGGACCTGCTGGCTTTTCTCTGCATTGAATTCAACTCTTCTGTTCACATCTTGGCATTTACTTTCACACAAGTATTCTGCTCTGCAGCTTCATCTACCTCTGTGCCTCCTTGATGAATTCTGTCTGTGGCTGCCTGATTGCTACTATATATCTGAATGTTCACCAGCTTTGAATTTAAACTGCAGTCCCTGATGGAGTTGGTGAAGGCTTTCTAAGCCTCCTCTTCAAGGTCCTGTTCTATCTCTTATGGCGTCACTAATTAGCTCATATTATAAGAGAAAATATTGCTAGATTATTTTGCAAGATACTATTTGCAATAAATGTTGAATTTTATGAAACAATAATCTACTATTTCTTCATACTTTTTATTATCTTTATTGGAAGTTTACCCTTCCAATTTCTACTTCTTCATTCTCACGGGGGTTCCTCCCACATATTAGTGTTACTACGCTGGTAACACTAATAACACATCTGGAGAACACAGCAGGACTTTCTCCATCAGAGCTGGTAGCAGGGCTTAGTTTCCTTCTTCGTTTAGCCTTGGAGCCAGGCTGTACTTTCACTGTTTTTATCTAAGGAACAAAGCACTAAACATGTCCTCCTTTCCTTTTCATCTGCTCAGGGGAATGGGAATCTGAGATGCTTAATTTTTTTTTTTAATTTTTTTTTTTACTTTTTTTTGGTGTTCTCTGCTTTGATACCTCTTGGGAGGTCTGTGTGCCACAGCCTCACTTTCTGATAGCATGTCCCTGCATGATCCACTTTCTTGTGGCACCAGGCACTTAAATAGAGCCATGCACAGGCATTACACAGGGACGGCTCAAACACTGCAACATTTATGTCTTAATCCTTCTTCCACCTCCACTACCCGCTGTTGCTAAGTCTTACCTGGAAGGGGATGCCTCAGGCAGCCATGTTTTAAAGAGGCGTGTGGGCACAGAATCACAGAATTGCTGGAGTTGGAAGGGACCTCTGGAGATAATCTAGTCCAACTCTCCCACTGAAGTAGGATAACCTAGAGCACTTTACACAGGATTGTATCCAGGCAGGTTTTGAATATCTTCAGAAATGGAGACTTCACAACCTTCCTGAGCAGCCTATTCCACTGTTTTGTCAACTTCACTGTAAATAAGTTTCTCCTCATATTTATGTTCCTATGCTCCTATATTCCAATTTGTACCCATTGCCCCTCATTCTGACACTGGGAACTACAGAGAAGAGCCTGTCTCTATCTTCCTTGCATCCACTCTTTAGATACTCATGTACCTTGATAAGATCTCCCCTCAGCCTTCTCTTCTCCAGGCTAAAGAGTCCCAGCTCTTTCAGCCTTTCCTCAGAAGAGAGATGCTTCAATCCCCCTATTATCTTTGTCACCCTCCTCTGGACTCTCTCCAGTAGCTCCCTGTTGATAAAAACAGGCATCTTGCAGAGTTTTCTCAAGAAAGCATTAGGAAGTACTTCACTGTCCAATTACCATGGATTTTATTGCAATCTAAGTAATAAGAGTTGCTTCTGAAAATTGCATTTGATGCCTCTCTCTATCCTTATGAGCTGCTAATGCCTTTAAATATTTGGCCACTGATTTTCTAGACACGACCTTCTGGGTAACCACATTGTAGCACACCTCCTGATTAGGAAGCCATTTACTCTCAACAGTGGTGTGCAGTTTTCTGAACCAGACACTGCCAACTCTCATCCCACTTACTCAGGTCACTAAAGAGCCAAATCTGACTTCTTCATGACCCCCCTCCAATCTGGCATCCTCTGAGCACCTCTTACTGCTGATGTCTTCAGCTCAGCAGCAACAACTCTTCTCTTCCAAGGGACAACACAGCCCCAGCTGCCAGCCAGAGGGAAAAGCATGAACGCACACTGAAGACAACCTCTGGTTACCTCTGCACTAATTCCTCCTTCTTTGTGCCCATCAGCAGCACAGCAACTTCACCTGTACTCCAGAAGGCTAAATCTTGCATACAACTCCCAGACTATACACATGGGCACAACAATGACAGACATGTCACTCCCAGCTCATGCTGTTACATCCCTTTTTATCACCAGCTACTCTGGTGTAGTAGGTGATTATGCACCCATGGGCTATAAGTAATATAAAAGGTTGTCTTGCTTTTTGTCTGTAAACACAACAGCCTCCTTATGTCCATTGAAACACAATTTGCCCTCTTCCCCCAACACTTCATCTAACGTATTAGAGAAACTCAGAACCCATGCCTTGAGGCCTCCTTAAAAATTGTCTGTTTCTTACTCCCAGTCTGTGTTGGCTCTTACAAGGAGACTTTATGCAAGGCCCAAAATGAAGAAATTCTCTGCACAAAGGTATTCTGGCACTTGAGCTAGTCCTAGCAACAGCATGGTCCTCTGGAGCAAAACAGCAGTGGAGCACAGAGTCTCTGCTCTTGGTCCCCATGCAACATTTCCAACACCATTTTTAGATGCTTAAGTAAGGCACAGCACCAGGCACTGTTCAGGTGTCATGCAAAACAAAGAGAACCAAGCTAGTTATCAGAAATGAACTTTGCAGATGACTGTCCACCTGGGAGTCAGCATTTCCTGGTGAGAACAAAGAGTTTGACTTCAGATATCACCACAACATGTCTAAGCTCAGATGGATCTCATCTGTCCTCCAACTGGTAAGTAGCATTTGCAAGAGAACTATAGAAGCATAAAAAAATTGCAATTTAATGTGTATTATGTATCACATTCTGGTCTTTAAATTGGAAAGCTAAAGATTTGGTGAATAAGGAATTGGCTGGATGGTTGCATTCAAGGAATAGTAGTTAATGGCTTGATGTCCAAATGGAGACAAGTGCGAAGTTCCTCAAGGGTCAGTACTGGGACTGCTGCTGTTTAACATCTTTATTGGAGGCATGGACAGTAGAATTGAGAGTGACCTCAGCAAGTCTATTGATGACATCAAGCTGTGTGGAGTAGTTGACACCCTGGAGGGAATGGAGGCCACCCAGAGGGACCCTGACAGGCTTGATAGGTGAGTCCATGCCAACCTTATGAAGTTCAACCAGGCCAAGCATAAGGTCCTGCATTGGACCAGGGTAATCCCACACACAAATACAGTTTCTGTCTTCCTGTCAACACCTCTATGAAAGCATAAGAATTAGTAGTCTAAACTTCGAGCATAAACTCTTTTTCTTTCATTTTTTATTTTCACCAGTACATTAAGGTTACATTTGTGGTTTAATTTGAAAAGACATGGTGCTTGTGGGGATTAGTTTGGTCTTGAAGTGGAATAGAAGTCATGAAGACAGTGATAAAACTAGGAACAGAGTTCAACGATATTGCAGGTTGCAGCAGCCTTCACAGAAAAAATGATTGCTGCTGCTATCAGACGAATGTTCTTATCATCTAGAAATCAGCAACCAGAAATCTCTGTTTTGACTTCAAAGCAAATCCAGCACTGTCTCACCACAGGGCACTTATCATATTAATTAATTCACGGGAAAATTTCTTTTAATGTCTTGAATGCATATTTACAGCTTACTTTAAATTTCTCTTTAGTATTATTTTAAAATAAGAGAAAACCACTCAACCATTAAACTCGCAGAAGTTGACATACTGTCCTCTGGAAATATAACCAAGAAATAGGTGAATGGTCTTTAAGATTCCCGGGACTTGTTTCTCTAATTCATTGACTCCATAAAACAATGACAGTGGCAATCACTCCAGGCCTTAATGTTCCTAGAAATAACATATTAGCACTTAATGCATGGTAGTGCCACCAAGTATTGATGGAAAGTGCTACAAGCGAGATCAAGTAGTCTCATCAAATGCTAATTACCAAAGTGGAAGCTGAGATGGACTTAACAGTTCTAGAGTAAGGCTTTTTCTTCCATAATGGTATGTGTGTAAAAAAAACCAAATGTGTCTGGTAACAGCTGCAGTTTCATAAATAGCTGCACAAATACCCAGTTCCTTCCTGCAAAATCTAGAGCTAAATTTATTTTACCAATTATTTAGTATTTATTTAATAATTACTGAGGGATTCTTACAACCTGTAAGTATCTGCAGTTGTGGATGAAGGTGAGGCAGAATATTATGCCTGCCTGTTCTAGCACCATGTTGGCTCTGATTATTTTTTGGCTCATAAGAGGCCAAAAACTCTAGACCTTGTCTCCTG